CGAGGAAATTGAAAAACCTCAAACCCAATTTGGGATCATCAATGGTTCCGATTAAAATCTCTTCAACATGAATAGTCTTCAGTCTTCTCGAGACTAGCTCACTGCTCAATGCGATCTCCCAGCTCCGTTTCCCTCGCACGATTCTTCTGACGGAATCAACAAATTGCTTATCTTCACCGATTCTACATTCTTCTTGAGAAGAATCGATCACAGAGCTTAGATTTCTAAAGCTATAGCGCAAATGAGAGCTTGATAATGATCGAATCGTGCAAGGGAGCTTCATCAAAGAGGTCCACCGTAAAAATCAGAACCAGCAATTGTCGGGACGGATTTTAATCTCATCGGCCCCCGGGGTGGAATCAATTTCTACTTAGCCCCTTATAAGAAAGAAGAGTTTAATTGTTTAATTTAATTCAGAAAAATAGTAAATGACCAAAAAAATATGGGCTTTTCAACATAATTACAGACCCAACCTAACTTTGGATCTAGATCCATATTTGTTGGGTCGGATTTCGGATCTTTAATTCCCAATTCTCCTAACTTCGACTAACTTCAAGCCCTAACCCTAATTTTCATTTTTTCCTTCTTCTTTTCTCTCTCGACAAACCGACGAGACCCTCCGACGTTCTCTCGAAAACAAACCGACTTCGCCGTTCTCTCATCGCCGATAAAACTCTTCTTCTTCCCTCTTCTCTTGTTCGCCAACAAAGGATCCGCCGCCACAAACCAAATCCAAGTTCATCCGCCCTTCTCTTTGTAAGATTTATTTTCGAGAATCAAGGTTATGTTTCCCGTTTCTTTTGTTTGAGTGTGTTGGGTTTTGATTCATGAAGATTTTGATTTGTGGATGGATTTTCGGATTTCAAATTGTCTTGTTTTCGGATTTGAATTTTGGCCATCCACCTTCCTTTGAATTTCAAAACGTGATGAGAAATCCTGTGCTTCTTTCTCTTTGTAAGATTTTTTTTGTTTGTTTTTGATTGATTGTTTAATTGGGGATTTTGATTAGGGTTTGATTTTTCTTTGAGGGTTTATATGGTTCCATTGATTGTGTTGGGTTTAATTAAGGTTTGATTTTCTTTGAAACAGATAGATTATAGATGGGTTCTCGATTGATTTTGGGTTTTTTTCTTAGAGGGTTTTAATAGGGTTCGATTGAGTTATGTTGGATTTTCGATTGAATTTGGTGTTTTTCTTTAAGGTTTGATTTTGTTTGAAACAGATGGATTAAGGTTTGATTTTGTTTGAATTAATTAAATAGATTGATTAATTGAATTTGGATTTTTTTTTATGATTATAACTCGGATTTTATGTTTACAATTTGGATTTCATATTGTGTTTATCGGATTTGAATATATTTCAGATTTCTTATAATTATGTAGAGATCTAATTATTTGTTGTTGCAGGTTGGTTTACAATGGCTATTACCAGAGGAGGAGCTTCTAGTTCTAAAAGTGTACCATCTTGTTCTAGAAGTGAACAATTTGCCGAGCTTAGAAGTTCCAAAAGACAAAAGCAATCGGATCCAAAGCATTCAGAGACAGCAGCTGCAGTGGATGATGTCATGGAAGATCAAGGAGTCGAACCGTCTTTGGAGAATGATGTGTCTGACCATGAGGTAATCAATGTATACATGTTTGATTTTGAATAGTACAACAGAGTACCTATATGTACAACTATGATGTGGCAGACTGGAAGTTAAATATTCTGTGAAATTGTGTTTGTAATGCAGGAAACTCAGATGGATATGGAGGAGGACTCTGTACCTCTTCAACCTGAGAGGTTTTTTTTTAGTCCCGACAAATATGTAAAGAATTGCAAGATATCAACAAGGTGTAGCATTGTTAAAACGTTGGCTGCTTTGGAAAAGCTCTCGGAGACGGAAAAGCAATGGTTTAGAGACCACAAGCAGTTCAAACACATATGGCATCTGATTAGACAGGACAAGAACAAGGTGCAGGGTATGTGGCTGCTCCTTCTCCGGAATACTTCAATAGAGAAGAAGAAGGTATGCTGGTTCGTGGTGAACGGCGTCCCAATACGCTACTCGATGAGAGAACATGCTCTCATCACTGGTTTTGATTGCCATGAGTATGCTGCAGATTTTAATGCTGAGAGTTTTGGTAGCTGGGAGTTTGTGGAGAGAGTCTTTGGAACTAGGAAAGTACAAGTGAATGATGTGGAAAATATGCTGCAGTCAATGGATGGTGTATGTGGTGGAGATCGCTTGCAAGTGGCTGTCCAACTTTTCTTAAGCAAGGTAATCAGAGGAAGGAGAAAGTTTAATACCATACATCCTTTCATTTTGAAGATAGTGAACAACTTGAGAGATGTAGAAACCTTTCCTTGGGGGAGGAATACTTTTGAAGATAATTTGGATACGATCGAGCACATGATGAACCATCTAGATGGCGAAGTGCATGACGACTATTTATTTCCAGGGTTCATAATTTCTCTAGAGGTAAGAAAGTAGTTTTATTAATAAGTGTATATCTGTTTTGAATGATTAAAGATATGTGATATGTGATATGTGATAATATGTACAGGTTTTGGCATTTGAGTGCATTCCCGAGCTGTCCAAACGATTTCAAATAGCTGTAAGAGGCGCAAAGGATCAATGTCCACTGATGTGTAAGCGTAAATTCAAAGAAACTGGAATGTCTGGTTTTCCACTTGAAGAACTGAACAATGCACTAGGGACAACTAAGGTAAGGTCTAGTGTCAATTATGCTTTACTGCAAGATAGACATTGTGGTAATTCTTGTGTTGTATAATCTTTGCAGGACATCATTAGTATCCTTAAACCATCAGCGGGTGAGGAAGCTTTTTTGCTTAGCATTATGGAGCGAGCTGAAGTTGAAGATTCAATAGATCCTATAGCTGATGCGTGGAACAACCGTCTTGATGTAGAACAGAAAAGTATTTGGTGGGAGAATCTGTATAAGTTAGATGTTGCTGCTCGAGGATTTGGAGAGGTAAATGTTCCAGCAGCTTCGTATAGGGAAGAGCCGCAGCAAGATGTTCCAGCAGCTTCACATAAGGAGGAGGAGGAGCTGCTTTTACCTTTTGTGATAAAAAGGATGGTGAAAACGGCGGTTGCCGAAGCTATGAAGGATGTGTATAAGAGATTGGAGAAGCTTGAGAGGGAAGCTGAAGCAAGGAAAGATGGAGAATGGGATGAGGCGGGTGTTAGAGGTTGTTTTGAGAAGAATGGTGTTGACACATTTGATGATGAGACAGGTTTTGAGAAGAATGGTGAGCCGGCTTTTGAGAAGAATGTTGAGTCTGGTTTTGAGGAGAATGTTGAGCCAGCTGTTGGAGGTGATGATACAGTTGATGATGGCTCTATTGGTGGGCAGAAAACTGGGGGTGATGAGGCAGCTGAGTTACAGATGGTTGGTGAAAAGGAAACTGGGGGTGATGAGGCGGCTGAGTTACAAATGGTTGGTGAAAAGAAAACTGGTGGGGATATCGTAAAAAAGCAGAAGTTCAAGCAGTGTGCTAAGAAGAAATGTAACTTGGCACCGAAAAGGAAACTAAAGCCTTCAATCCATGTCAAGGCTCGTTACCTGCCCAGTCTAAACCCGATTCACTTATAGGAGGTGATTCAGTAAAGAATGCCTCAAAGTCAAGCGGGTTGAAGGCCGAAGTAGGAAGAGCTGCCAAGCGACTCCGTTTTTCAGAAAGGTTAGTCGACAGCTCGGTCCTTTCTTGCTCCTCGGAGAAATCTGCTTCATGGATTTGATCCAGCAGAATCAGGTTGCTTTCATGCTCCTTGATGTCTGACTCCAAGTCCGACCTAGCCTTCTCGGTTTGCATGAAGCGAATGGCCCCTTGGATCAGCTCCATCCCGCGTCCCTTAACCTCCTTTCTGGCCTTCGATGCCGACCTTGCCAACTCGGAGTCACGCAATTTGGCAATCGCCTTGTATTTCGCGTTAAGCTCGATGAGTTGGTTGTTCAGGGAATCAGCGTTTGATTCGGACTCTTGAAGCCTACCCTGAACACCAGAAAACTCTTCCTGAAGCTTGAAGTTCTGGTCGTACTGACCCTGCAGCTCCCCCTTTATCTGCGCAAGCTCCGATGTTAAACTGTCGACCTTGTCCTCCAGATCGTGCTTGGAGCCGACAGAAGAACTAAGTTCAGCCTCAAGGGAAGAGAGGCTGTCCATACGTCAATCTCCTTCTCCCGTCCAAGGACCAACCCTTCGTAATGTTCGATCATGTCGTTAAGTTCGCTATGAGCCTGGTGTCATACATGAACCCGGGATGACGAGTCAGTTCGCAGAATGGCAATACAATAAAAAATATATACATAAAAGAAAGCGGAACTAACCCGAGATGAGTGATGCGCGTGAAGCAAATAACGTTCACGAATCGCAGGGCGCCATTTGTCGAAGTCTGGCAAGATCGAACCCGACCGGGTCTTGAAGCATCGGAAGACGCTGCCCTCTTTCTCCATAGCTGCGAAGAAGGAAGAGTTGTAAAAATTGGAATTTTAATAAAGACAAAAAGTTTAAGTATGTGTAAATCACCAAACCTGAAAGCGATTTGACTTGAGGGACAAGAGCAGGCTTCAGCCTCGAGGGAGCATCTCGAGATTCAGAATCTCCCTTTTTCGGAGACGCGCTCCGGGCAGTCTTTCCACTATCCGGCTGGGAAGAGGAGGACATGTCAACCGGTCGTGGAGGGCCCATTGGTTCAGAAGGAGGGGATGACCGAGGTGAGCGGTCAGTCCGGGCCCTTGACTTTTCCCTCTGCGGGGAAGGATCACTGCGAGAGGACTTGTCTCTCTTCCGGCGAACCAAGTTCTTAATTGGCTCGTTACTAAAATCATCTCGGGGAGGACGTTGTGAATCACGGCGAGGAGATTGATCCCTCCGAGGAGAACGTGAGTCGCGGCGGTCGCGACGAGGAGTTAGTCTGAAGGAAGCAACTGATCGGGCTCCCTCGGTACTGCCATCATCAACCAGCAAGGTCCTACTATATTCCTTCTTGTCTATAGAAGTCGCGAGAAACTTTTTCTTCTCCTCGCAAGCCTCAGCCATCGGCTTGGAAAGCAACTTACGCTTGGCCGCAAGGGCCCGAGATGACATTCCCTGAGTTGAGGGAGGGGGAGGAATTTGGTGAAGATGACCAGGCGGGCTCATCCTGAGTCTGTGGTTAGCCTCTAGGAATCGTTCAAGAGTGAAGGAATTCCAAAGGGTTTCCCCTTCAAGAATTATTTTGAAGAATTCGATGAACTCTTCAGATGGGAGATTGGAAGCGATGAAAGCTGCGAAATAAAACAACGGTGTTAGTCAATAAAGATAAAGAAACAACCAGGAAAGATACGGGCAACCTAATCACTACCGGGTTTCGCGGACCACTTCGAAGGGAGAAAATCTGCGAGATTTCCAATCGAAGCGGGAGTTTTCTTAATTAGAAACCAAGGATGATGCCAATTTTCATCCTTGTTCGGAAGATGAGAAATGATGTTCCTGTTGGCATTAGGATATGCTGAGAAGTACCCCGCTTTCTTCGATGAACTTCTCACACTCAGAAGCTCATTTAGTTCAGCAACTCCGATAACGTAACCGGCCTCCGCCGCGATTGTTATGATGCCGAGAATAGTACGAAGAAGATTGGGGGTTAATTGAGGAAGAGCGATTTCAAGGGCCGCTAGGTATAAAATTAGGGCTTCGGGAAGAGGAAAGGTCAGCCCGCAACCCTTGAAATAAATCTCATACACACAGAAGTAACCATCGCGATGGTTCTCTGGAGATTCTGTGGGGGAAGCTATTTGTGCTTCCGCCATAATTTCCGGCGGAATCCGGCAAAGCTCTCTCAATCGCTCGAGGGATTGAAGAGTACAAATGGACCTATAGTGCGGACCGGCAATATCACCAGGGCGGGTGCACTCGTCGTTACTAGAACGCCTCTCGTCGAAAGACGGAGACTCGGGTCTATCGGAATCAGAAGTCATTGGGAAGAAAGAAAAATTCAAGATCCGGCGAAGAGGGGTTTTGGTGAAGGAACGGAGAGAGAGGTTTTGATTAAAGTATAAAAGTAAAAGAAGAGAGTAATGGTGAAAAGAAGTTACCTCAAGCTAATGATGAAACCGCCTTGGAAGTCGTGTGGGAAGTGGGAAGGTTTTTCCCGTTTTAATAGTAATTAATCAATATACGGTCATAATGATGACAGATGTCACTCGGTTAAAAATGGCTAGTGCCGAAATTAAAGGAGTGATGGGATTTTCGGCGGGAAATCAGAAAGATTCTCGAGCGCAATCTTTGGCCACTTGAGCATTTAAAGTCCTCCGAATTGGAATAGCACTTCGAAGAACTTGGGGGGCTAATTGTTGGTGTCGGATCCCGCACCAGAAGTACGAGACCAACCAAAGATTGCCACGTAGTCAAGCGGGTGGCCCATAAAGGATGAAGCCCATTGGGCCCGTGAACCGAGGGGACGGTCGAAGTGGTTGTCACCACTTCGAGAGTCCGAAGTGAATGTACTGGGACGCGAGTTCGGTGTAGAAGACACGGGTAAGTCGGTTCAAGGACGCTTGGGCCAGAAAAGGCGAGGCCCATGAAGATCAGAGTCAACTCAAATTCAAACGTTGAGCATTAAAGTCGAAGAATCAAAACGGACACATTTAAGAAGGAATAATTGTACTTAATTATTCATTTTAATGCCATTTCTCTATGTATAAATATAAAGGCCAATGGCCATGTAAAGGGGACCTTCCTCTCAAGAGAGAAATACTATAGCAATTTTCGTATCAATTTACAAGTTTTTATACGTTCATTTTTGTCCCTCAAGAATAATCTTTCCTATTTAATAAAATACTTGAGTGTGTGAATCCGACATCCACAATGACGACTATTTATTTCCAGGGTTCATAATTTCTCTAGAGGTAAGAAAGTAGTTTTATTAATAAGTGTATATCTGTTTTGAATGATTAAAGATATGTGATATGTGATATGTGATAATATGTACAGGTTTTGGCATTTGAGTGCATTCTCGAGCTGTCCAAACGATTTCAAATAGCTGTAAGAGGCGCAAAGGATCAATGTCCACTGATGTGTAAGCGTAAATTCAAAGAAACTGGAATGTCTGGTTTTCCACTTGAAGAACTGAACAATGCACTAGGGACAACTAAGGTAAGGTCTAGTGTCAATTATGCTTTACTGCAAGATAGACATTGTGGTAATTCTTGTGTTGTATAATCTTTGCAGGACATCATTAGTATCCTTAAACCATCAGCGGGTGAGGAAGCTTTTTTGCTTAGCATTATGGAGCGAGCTGAAGTTGAAGATTCAATAGATCCTATAGCTGATGCGTGGAACAACCGTCTTGATGTAGAACAGAAAAGTATTTGGTGGGAGAATCTGTATAAGTTAGATGTTGCTGCTCGAGGATTTGGAGAGGTAAATGTTCCAGCAGCTTCGTATAGGGAAGAGCCGCAGCAAGATGTTCCAGCAGCTTCACATAAGGAGGAGGAGGAGCTGCTTTTACCTTTTGTGATAAAAAGGATGGTGAAAACGGCGGTTGCCGAAGCTATGAAGGATGTGTATAAGAGATTGGAGAAGCTTGAGAGGGAAGCTGAAGCAAGGAAAGATGGAGAATGGGATGAGGCGGGTGTTAGAGGTTGTTTTGAGAAGAATGGTGTTGACACATTTGATGATGAGACAGGTTTTGAGAAGAATGGTGAGCCGGCTTTTGAGAAGAATGTTGAGTCTGGTTTTGAGGAGAATGTTGAGCCAGCTGTTGGAGGTGATGATACAGTTGATGATGGCTCTATTGGTGGGCAGAAAACTGGGGGTGATGAGGCAGCTGAGTTACAGATGGTTGGTGAAAAGGAAACTGGGGGTGATGAGGCGGCTGAGTTACAAATGGTTGGTGAAAAGAAAACTGGTGGGGATATCGTAAAAAAGCAGAAGTTCAAGCAGTGTGCTAAGAAGAAATGTAACTTGGCACCGAAAAGGAAACTAAAGCCTTCAATCCATGTCAAGGCTCCTTATACTGAAGAAAAGGCGAAGAAGGAAAAGAAGAAGGAGAAGGAGAAGGAGAAGGAGAAGAAGAAGAAGGAGAAGGAGCAGGAGCATGAGAAGAAGGAGAAGGAAAAGGAGAAGGAGATAGAGCAAGAGAAGAGTTTGGCTCCTATTTTGATCTCTGATGATGAGTATCGCTTGTATTCTGGTGTGTGATGTTGATGTATAAATCTATGTTTAGGTACAACTGGTGCGATTAGGTACAACTATGTTTCTGGGTTTATGTATTTTGATTAGGTATGAATCTGTGATTTTGTACAACTGGTACGATTAGGTACAACTATGTTTCTGGGTTTATGTATTTTGATTAGGTATGAATCTGAATCTTAATATTTTTAAGTATTGAATATAAATATATTAACCAAAAAATAAAAAAATAAATAAATTAATCAAAAAAATCTGACATAATAGCGCCGTTATTTTGAAAAACGGCGCCGTTATTTTGAAAAAAATTTGTACTTGGTTGTTACCTTGCGCCGTTATTTTGAAAAAAATTATTAAATAATAGCTCAAATTTGTTCATAGTTGTACAGTTGTACTTGGTTGCACATTTTTGCTCACAGTTGTACAATATATAGATTTTAGTAAATCTAGTTGTTTTCAACTCTAATTTAATTTTTGTTGGTGGAACCGATGGTATTGCCTCATAAAAATACCATTTATTTGTATCTGTGCATTTATATTTATCAAAATACAAGTATTTCAAAAATTTATAAAATTTTAGTTCAAATCTACAAAGTAACCATGAAAGTATAAGGCTGTTAGTGCATGAATGTGAGATTTTGAGTAAGAATTTTAGTATTTTTTAAAAGTATGAAATTTTTTGTTAAAAACTTGTTGTGTAGTTACATTACCATCGTATATGCCTTTTTAAAGTTTTTTTTAATTTGGTTTCAAATTTTCATATTATATAAAATTCTGAAAATTGGTCAAGGCATTAGACCTTAGTTGTACCAGTGGTACTTAGTTGTACCCAGACTGACAAAATTTGCACAGATACGAAAAGGAAATTAACCATAGTTGTACCTGCTAAAACTTAGTTGTACAACACAGAACATATAAGTTTCACAAACAAAACCAATACAAACAACATCGTTTCTTAAATTAACCTAATAAATAGCACTGAGAAATCAACCTTGGTCACCCGCATCGTCTCCATCAACGTCACCATCATTGGTAAACCACTCGCCCAAACCGTTCGCTCCATGCGACCTCTTCTTACGTCCTCTATGCTCTCCAACGGAGGGGAATCTTGTTTCTTGTCTTCTTCCTTGTTTTACCTCATAATCCGGAGGATAGGCAAATTGTTGCATTATCTCCTCCGGAAGAACCCATTGACTATTATGGGGAACAGGATAAATTGTCCTCGTGTACGCCAAAACCCATAGCTCAATCCAATAATACTTTGAGGACAAATCATGTGCCCGGAGCTCGGGAGCTGCATCCTTGTTTGTCGTAAGTGTAGCCGCTATCGCATGCACACATGGATACTTGTCTATATCAAAACGTCTACAACCGCATGTTTTGCTTCTCAAATCAACTAAATAAATTTTACCATCGCCTCCAATCACACTATATTCAAGATTATAACCGTTTAGCTCTCGCACCACCAACTTTTTCGCTTTCTTAGTTGTAAGATGGAGTTCCTTCTCCACAAAAGGAACCAAATATTGACCACTTGGTAATAGTCCAGAAGTTTTTCTATGTTTGGCAAACCACTTCGGCGATTTTCCCCACAATCGCATCTATCAATTGTAATAGTGAGTAGTTCCTTGCTCTCTC